GTTGTGTTATTTGGGATGTGCGTGCAAAATTTCAGGTCATTCGGACGAGATTTGATAGACTTTTTGATCGAAAGCATAATTTAAGAGTTCTTGGAGTTCTTAGGCTTGAATCTGAAGTTGATTTTGTGTTTTAATGTTGTTTGGAGTGATTCGAAAACTCGACTAGGTGTTAATGATGTTATGGGAGGTGTTGGTATATTTGGGTTGAGGTCTGATGGCTCCGGGTGTGTTTTAGGTGAGTTTTGAGCGAGTACGGACATTCAGAACTTAGAAAATGGATAAGGGCAGAATTGTTAGAGTTGGCCGTGGTAGAATTAGCGCTGGGCGCGCTGGCTTAGTGCTGGGCGCGTAAAAGTGACCGCGGCCGCGGTCATGAAGATTTGCAGATCGTCGGTCCAACTTCGGAAGCTCATATCTATTGATACACAAGGAATTTTGAGATGATTCAAAAACGAAAGTTGTAGCTCTTTGTGTCTAGTTTCCAGAAAGGTAAAGATATCGCAATTTGGACATATGTAGAAAAAGCTATGGCTAAAATATTAAAGTATGTCACTGTAGAGGAAGGCCTGTGCGGCCACGGTTGTGTTTGCGCGGACCGCACTGGTTTGCGCGGACTGCGGTCGTTTTGGTGCGGCCCGCGGAGGCTGGAACCTAAGGGGTACCCTATAAATACGAGGTTTTGGGTTTTATTTAATATTTTGACCTAGAGATCTCGGATTTTGGCGATTTTTCGAAGGTTTTTCACGAAATTCATCGTGGTAAGTGATTTTAACTCAGATTTGGCTAGAGTACATGAATCTATCATTGAATTCATCATAAATTCGTGATTTGGGATGGAATTTGGGAACAAAATTGTGAAACCTTTCAAAAATATAAAATGATGATTTGAAGGACCAAATGGTATCGGAATTGGATAATTTTGGTATGGTTAAACTCGTGAGGGTATGAGGATTCTGAAAATGTAAATTTTACCCGATTTCGAGACTTGGGCCCGGGGCTCAGAATTTGCTAATTTCGGGATTTTTGATATTTTTTGAATGTTTTCGCTTGGGCTTTGTTCCCTTAGCATATTGTGACGTATTCGTTCTGATTTTGAATAGATTCGACGCGCGTGGAGGCC